GGTGGTGGAGGTCCTTGCACCACACCGGTCCGGACTCGGCGGGGGCTTAGAGTCCAAGTTTGACGGGACTGAACACCCGGGACAGGGAGAGTGATGGGTTAGTCCTACTTGTGCCCGGGGTGCAAGCGGGCGTGTGTTTTGGGACACCTATTTGGACACATTGATTCGTGAATCGCTTGAGACGATCCGATCACGTGCTTGTCTCTCGTGTTTAGCACCATAGTAAGAACTGAAAGTTGAAAGGAGAAGAAATAAAACTGATTGCTCAACTTTTGCTTGAAAGTAGAACAAGTGCTTATATAGACTGGTTAGATGATAACTTAATACGGTGATAATAAGTATACATAAATAAGGACTCACTATTAGTATTGCTTTTTCGCTAAAGAAACCAAAGCAAACCCTAAAGCCTATCATATTCTTTGGAGTTGGAAAATTATTCCCATCGGATAAGTCTTGCAGTACATTGTGTACTCATGGTTTATTACCCTCGCTGCAAGTGACGCTTGAAGAGTACCTTTGTGTGGAGGATCCTTTTAGTGGGCCATGCAAGCTTGTTCGCTTGATCGCATTGGTTTATAAGTCATGGCTTATCACCCAATCGAATATTTTTTTCTTTCTCTCATTAATGCCCATAAAGCATTTCTTTCCGTGGCTTATAAACCAAACCAGCCCAAACGAACAGGGCGATGACTGAAAATACTGTTGACTAATTTATTGTGAGAGAGAAACACTGTTCATTCGCGTGCGGGAACGTGGCTTCACCGTGAGGGGATCAGGCGACAATCATAGATGCCGCCTATAAAACTCGCTTAACCGGCCGGGAATCGGCCAACTTTCACTAGGCAACTGTGCACGCTTTGCAGTGCATGCGAGCACCTTGCGTACGTCTGCCGAGCTAGTGTCTGAGCATACAAGAGGAACAGAGCAGAGATAGAGGAGCACAGCAACGGAGATAGTTCAGACGAATCTCTTAGAACAGAGGAGTGCGTATGAATATTACAAGAGTTTGTTTGTTTGATAATTTCCTTTCCCCTCGCTCACAGGCTCACCGCTACTTAAGCTATCTGCTCACGGCATCTCTTCGGCGGCGCTGGCTTACACCTATTCTGGGCCCTGATTCTTTGAGCTGGGCCTCCGCTCCCGCGTGCCACGTCTTGGGCCCATCTGGCTATCTCCCTCTTGTGCGGCGTCGTGCTCTGCTGCCTGGGTGATGACGCTCTCCTTGCTGGTGCCGGCTGAAGCAGTAGCTGCAGCGCTGGCTTAGGATTCCACATTTCCACCCCTCAGGCAGGCAGGTTTCGCCCGGGGTAGCAGTAGTGTCCTTGTGATCCGAGCTAGGCATTTGTTTAGATGGTGGCTTAACAGATAAGCACTGCGCTTGATAATTGGAGCTCAAAGATCGCTCCAAAGCATAGTTTATGTTCTTTCCATGTACGCGGTCCCGTCCCGCGCGTAGATTATATTTTAGCGGTATGTGAGTGAGTCCAGAGATGATAGATTCACTGACTATCGCCCTGTTCGTTTGGCTTATAAACTATATTTTTTCAGTCAACGAACAATATATTTCTCTCACAACAAATCAATCAACAGTACTTTTAGGAATGGCTTATCAGTCAAACGAACAGGGCATATATATGCAAACGGACAAAAGAATTGTAGAGCAATAGCACTGTAGTAGAGCATGGATGCAGGGCAACGGCATGTCAAAAACTTTTTGGGATGCTCGTGCTCCGCTCCAAATTCATGGTCCACCGCACAGTTGTTGCCAGCACAGTGGTGGTGGACAGAGCATACATGTGTGGGGTTACTATTGAGTATGGACGGTCATACACGGAGCTGCCTTGCGCTGAGTCACGCCCTACCTGGCACTGACGTGTTGGACCGTACGTCCACAGCATCTGCAGCCAAGCCATGACGGACGTCTTCGTTGAGGCGGGCCTCTCCAATGACCGAGGGGTGACCGATGTGACGGCTAAAATTTAGCCCGCTAATTTTAATCTTATTTAGTTATTGTTTACCTAAATATTATGACTAAATATAATTAAATAGGTATTTAGCCAATTAGTTACTAAGGGGTTGCTAAATAAGACTAAAGTCCATGCTACCTTATTTTTTAGTTACTTTGGATCTAAATACCTTGACTAAAGATCTTTTTAGTCTCTTTTAATCCACCAAACCAAACAGAAGTGGCTAAAGTTTAGTAGCTTCAATGCAAACGGGGCTAAGCCATGACCATGAGAAATGGGAGTCAGCCATGAGAATCTGAGTATCTGACATAGGAGGATGGGAGTGACCATTTCCCTTCACTCTGGTCTTTAGTTTTAGTCACTCGATGGATAATTGCGCAATTAGCCCCACACGCAAAGAGTGGTTTCCTAATCAATGAATTTGAATACAGTGAACAGGGAGCTACTCTTGATCAGTTGACCAAGTCTGAAAGAAAAGAGGTTCCACTGTATGACCTGTGGGCCGTGGTCGTTGGATTCTTTCTTTTACTACATCCCTACACCTAGCGGCTGTGATGAGCATTCTTACACCAAATCCTCTTCCATCTTTGTTGGGTCCCCTTGGCCTCCTCAGGGCCCTGTTCTGCTGCACTACTTCAACAGTACTTCTCATCGAACTAATATTATTTTTCTCTCACAGCATTTCAACATAAGTATCAGTATAAGTCAAACTTCAGCGAAACAAACAAAGGTCGGCGTGCGCCCTCACGTTGACCCTTCGCGCCCATCTTGGGAAGCCTGTTACCCTAACTTTTACCTTCCTTGTTCAATGGTCAGGCGTAGCTGCTGCTTCATGTAGCAACGGTCCACCGTCCACCGTCCACCTATACTCAATGGTTCTGTTCTGCGGCTAGACGCCGCGCGCCGGACGGCGCCAACCCGGCACGGGTTTGTGAGAACGGAGTGGTTCGGTTCTTCACTTCTTCTTCTGTTTCATTTCATTCATGGCGGGCCATGGTACAGTGATTGATCGGCTGACTCGGTCCGATGGCTGATGGTGGCCGCTGTGTCTGGGCTTAGTGGCCAGCGCACCCGGGTCCACCCGTACGATAACGACAGGCCAAGGAGGCGGGCCCCGTGTATGACGTCGTGGCGAATTCTCCATTCCGCGCCAAAACAAAAGGCGTTTCTGTTTGTTCATGCAAAAAACCGTGTGCTACATCACGCTCAACTTGCATATCGGGGGCTACGCTCTGTGCCTGTTCCACAAGATGCGACCCCTGTTCGGGTGCGACCGTGCGGCTACATTCACGTACAGCTAACGAAGGAGATCAGAATATCCGATGGAGGAACAGCTGGTGACAGCTATGAGAGGTTCCTGAAAGCATGCAGCATCCCCTGCAGGTCTGAATAACCGGACAGCAGCAGTCGAAAGGATACAAGATTCAGGAGTAGCAATGGCAGGGAGAAATTTGTCTCAAATCGACAGCAAGATTGATATACAACTGCAGTGCTAATATTTATTCATTATTTATGTTTGCTCTAGCCTAGTGTCTAGATCAGTAAAGCACCCTTGAAAACCATACACATTTAGCTGTTTCTGAAACTGTACTGCAATCCAAATGGGATAGAAGAACTCAATACGCATACCACACGTCGTTGCTTTCAATAACTTCCTAACTAATTTTGCCTTCAAGAACCGTCGAGTATGGCTGAACAATTTGCTATGCTGATTCTAACAGAAAAGGGAAAAAGAACTGGAAAAACTCCACTTATTGATCTCCTCAAGTGCAGCGTCCAATAATGCATATCGTTTATTCTTTAGGCTCATCATCAGATGGAAGCCATTCAAGGGTGCTGCCAGCAAACATAGGCACAATCTCCCCTGAACTGTGCTTATAAGTTGCGGATACTTCCCAGCCACTCTTTCTCAAGACAATCTTTGAAGTGTTCCTTGGGAGACCGTAAAAATCAGGGCCATTGAAGCTTGTAAAAGCTTCTAGATTATCGAGGGCTCCAGCCTGGAATAGTGGAAACATGTCCAGAGAAATAAACCGATAAGAAAAAGGAATTTTCAACATCTGCATAGTTTGTCACCACCACAACTTCAGTGCCACGTAATTGACACCAACCTACAGCAAGATAGTTTTCTTGAAATCTAGTTGTGGTGGTGATAAATGGTTACTCCGTATGTCTTTTTCTCGGAAGCAAAGATGAACGATAAGCATGAGAGTGCTCTGAGATAAAGACTACCTCTTCAAATACCTTTCGCATAAAGAGACAAGGCAACAGGAGCGCTATATATTCCTGCACAACCACAGGAACATTCTTTGTTCCGTTTATCATGGGGAGCGCTGTCAGTGCCAAGAAAGTATCGTCTACTCCCTTTTGTTACAGCAGATACAATAGCTTGTCCTAGGTTGAAGGTTCAGAAACAGTTAATAGGCAGAGTGCTGTTAAAAAATTACAGAACAAAAAGTTTTAACATGACAGTTGATTGAAATTATGGGCAATATCCCAATCCTAATGAGGCTAAAGAAAAACGCGAGACAAGAATATTGTTATGGATCTAGTTATATATTTGCTGAAGGAATATTTGGTCAAATTTTGAAAGAAAATGACGATCATCATGCATATTTAAAAAGTGGTTTCATAGTTGGCTAATTGCTGAAGAAATGTCTAGTAATTTTAGAAAATAATAATGAATATCATTGTCATTGTGCATTTATAAGAAGGAGTAGCATTTCTTAGAGGGTGACTCCATACTATGGATCTCTCTTTTCAGAACTGGCAAGCAGTAATTGTGTGGCTGCAAGCCACCCTGAAATAAAGCGTTCCTATTGAGGAGATGCTGAGGAGTCACTGTTGCAGCAACATGACCTGGGAACATGAAAGTGTTATAATAAGTATTAATGCCATCCTAGCAGCAGTGCAGTACCTTGTTCACATGATTCTATGAAATTCACTGCATCCATAGTTGTGATGTGTTCCATAACAATTTTCAGCTGTGGAAGTTTTTTGTACAAGTGGTGCCAGTATTCTATCAATGAAAACCTTCTCACGGTCAAAGATGTCAACATGTGGATCTGTGACTTCTCCATGAACCTGGAGAAAAAGATCATAAATGAGCAATAGCCATAAAAGATTTTTGCACAAGCAGTGCAAAAAAAAAAAAACTTTTGAAAGAAAATGCAGATTACACTTTTTGGAAAGGAAAACAACTTACTAACTAAAGCAAGAACAGTCCAACAAATTGTGACCAATATAGAGACTAGTCATGTGCATCAAAACTCCAATCAAAAGGCCTTTAGTGCATCAAGAATGCAATGAACCTAAACTACTTACAAGCAAAGGAATTTCCTGCCTGACCATCTCCTTGAGGACAGGCAAGCACTTCACAAATTTATCGGTCACACCATCCTGGGAATCGGTAGTTGCTCCGGCGGGATACAGCTTCACAGCAAGGACTACACCACTCTCTCCTAAAACCACATAGCATGCAAAATAAACATCAACCTCAAGATATAGACTGGTAAATGCACACAACAGTTTTCATTTCATGCACGTTAGATAATATTTTTTTGATAATTGCATTAGATAATTTTGTTCAAATTTTCAGCAGAATGTACGTGGCAACAAACTCAATGCGCAAGTACACAGATAGATAGTTAAACCCACACTAGAGCTGATTACTGCTTGGACTTCTATTGATGAGGACTTAGGAGCGGATGGATGAAAGTTGAAAACACAATACAACCAGAGAACCATGCCACAAAGCTGATCTACATTCTTCTATGTGAAAACAAGATATCTTTTAAAGAACCTGAAGAATAGGTTTGGTTACTACATGGAGAAGAATTCATACTTGCGCGCTTTATCTCCCTGGCGGTAGCGCCCTCATTATCTCCTCCCTGTACTCCACCGCCCGCGCCGTCGTGGTCACCGGCGTCTTCAGCTTGGGCATGAGGATGGCCCTCCCGAAATGCCTCGCATTGTCACAGAGCACAACCACAGAGTCTCAGAAACATTGCATCGAGCACCAGCTGTGCACCACCAATGCAAAAACCAAATAGCAACACGATGATCGCTCGAACCTGTGGGGCAGCACGGCCTCGAGGACACCGCCATCGCGAAGATGGAGGTGGCACTCGTCGGGGCGCGTGACGATCAGCTGCTCCTGCTGCAGCGACGTGGCAGCCATGGCAGTCGCCCTCAGATTCGGCCCTGGAGAAGTGCGGAAGATGATGCGGCAAGGAGCCGACCTGCTGCATTGGCTTCCATCCCTCGCTTTAGCACGATTTAACAAATAAAAAAAATGGGTAGTCACTCTGTCCTAGAATAATCGCACGTAGAGCAAGGGCCTGTTAACTTATCAGCCGATTTATTAGTTAATAAATTAGCTTCAGTCGACTTATTAATCGGCTTTAATACCAGCCGAACAGCCCCCAATTTATACACACGGCGAATGATACTATTGTCCCTGTAAAAATAATTTCTAACGTGCTCCATTATACTGTTGGAAGCAAATTTGTACACATGACGATCAGCTGTTGGAAGCAAGCTTCCGAAAATGCTCCAGTTTACAAAGTGGTGTTACAACCTGGGTCAAACACGCACGAGCACATGTGGGCGGATCATAGGGCGAACGGCGGGCGAAGCCTCGTGCTAGCGCTGATGAGCTTTTACAGATGGCGCTGACGGGCATCATGGCCTTGCTCTAGCCTCACAATTCACAGGTCTTGATCGTGACGGACAAATGTAGCTGCTCTAATCTTTTGCTCCATCGATCAGACCTGCGTTTCTCAGGAAGTCCGGCGAACACCTCAGCCAGAGGCTCCTTCTGGCGTGGTCAACTCGTCTCAGGCACCTTTGTGTTTTTGGACTACAGCTGCTGCCGCCGGCCAGCGGACCTGGCCGCGTGCCTGGCGCGGATGGCGTCGTGCTGCATCTGCTCGTAGCGGCACTCCTGGCTGCAGAAGGGTGTGTCCCCTCTGTACATGAAGATGTCGCTGTCGCGGGCCAACGGTTTTGAGCAGAGCGCGCACGCGTTCAGCACGGGCAGGCGGGGCTCGCCGATCGGCTCGGTGTCGAAGAAGAAGCCAGCACAGGCGAGCGAAGTGGCCATGGTTGCTGCGGTTCTGGGTGGTGCCGTGGTGGTGTGGGGTGGACGACTCTACAAGGCAGGCAGGTAGGCAGGTTTCAGAGCTGAGCTCGGCGGCGGGGAGCGGGGGTATATATGGCGAGCTCGGCAGCACGGCCGTCGCCCGTTTGCGGAAGCACGAGCGGGAACGGTGAAACGGGCAAACGGCGGCGCGAGATGGCCCACGGTCCGGGCAGATACCGCGCGGCGGACGGGGCCACACAGCCCACGGTTTTTGGAAGACCGAGTGGTTCGGCAGGCTGACTCGGCTTGATGGCGGCAGCTGTGTCTGTGGCATGGTGGCCCGCGCACCGCCGGGTCCACGGGTGCACCCGTACGAGAACGACAGGCCAAGGAAGCGGGCCCCCCCGCGTGTGACGTGGTGGCGGATTCTGGATCCCGACAGAGACGAATCACGCCAAAACAAAAGCGTCACTGTTTTTATTTACACAAACGCTAAACATAGTACCGTAGTACACACAAGCAAAAACCGTGTGCTATCCTATCAGTATCATCAGCCTATCACGGTCAGGGCAGGTGAATCCACTTGTGTGAAATATAAGAGCCTGTTTGGTGCGGCTGTCGGTGCTTCGGCTCCTACTTCAAAGATACTGTGCAATACTGTTTTTTATCGTAGCATGACAAAAAAACAGCTCTGGCTCCTCCAAAAATAAACTTAAAAAAAAAGAAACCGGAGGAGCAGCACATCTGGAGTTTCTCCCGGCTCCGCCACGGTAGTGCTACAGTGCCGGAGCCAGGAGAAGCCCCTCTAAACGGGCTCTAAATACTGCTGCTTGCTCCGCTTTGTGCAGCAAAATCTGGAGGCAAATATTCTGACGCACCGAGATCAGTCGGAATCATATTCTGGAGTACAGTAGTAGTGATTTGCATTGCATCAAATTAACACTACTAACCTAGACACCCTATCAGGGCTGATAATTGGTGCGCCAGCATTTCGCCCCAACACGCGATGCTGCCCCACGTGATAGAGGGCACTTGCAAGTTGCAACAGCCTCTCGCTCAGATAACTTGAGCATGGGCACACACAGCTTTGTCTAGGTCTCCTTCCTGACGAGCTAGAGATTCTTTAGGGAGAGTTGGTGCATGCACGCCACGAGGCACGGCGGCAGCACCCTGTGTGTGAGCATCGGTTGGGACCAATGGCAGGTGGCGCTTAAGCAATGCGTCTGCTACGAGGTGGTGGTCACGCACTGGCTGAAGATGCACATGCACGCGATCTGTGGTTTTTGCGCCGTCGCCCGTCGGCATTGAATTTACTACCGTTCACCGGTACATAAAACTTAACGAAGACGGGTATTTTAGATTAGTGGAGCGGACATTGTAACCGTTTCTAATTAAAAGTCACGGTTAATCTAACCTTTTAGAGACGGGCACGGTTAATCGATTAATAGAGGCCGTCACATTAAGCTGCCCGCCACCGTTAATCGATTTTAAAAAAAACTAGCGAGCCCAATCGAGCCCGCTGCCGTCACCGCCGGTTGATATGGGCACGACCGGCCTCCTCCGCGCCATATCTGAGCGCGGCCGGCCTCCTCCTCGCTAGATCTAGGCGTGGCCCAAGGAGGGAGCCGCTGTCGTGGTGGAGCACGCCGCCGCCGCCTCCTCGCCGGATCTAGGACCTCCAACACCACCGTGGGAGAGGGAGGGAGGTGTAGCCGGTGGGGAAGAAGAGGGAAGGAGGTGCTGGCCGGTGGTGGAGGTGTGCCGGCGCTCGACCGCCTCCGCCTCCCCGCCGCTGCCGGATCTGGGCCTGCCGTGGCCGGAGAAGGATCGGCCGCGCCTCCTCGGGGTGGAGAAGGGGTGTGGATCCATGCCTAGAGGAGGTGGTGCTGCGCGCCGTCGGCCCCGTGATGAGAGCAGAGCGCCGCCTTGGCCCCGCGTCGAGGGCCGAGCGCTGCCCGCGCCACGCGGCCCCACGTCGTAAGGAGACAGGAGAGGGCGAGTGAGGGAGAGAGAGAGGACAACGACTGAGGATGGAGAGGGAAAGGAGAGCCAGGGAGCGCGCCGCTCTGTTGAGGATAGAGAGGGAGAGAAAGAGAAATGACTGAGTGAATGAAAACCCAAACTTCTTGTATTTATATCGAAGAAGGCTATCGGGCCTCGACTGGGCCTGTTGGGCCTTGGCCTTTTCGGAGGCGGGTCTTATAGTGTGCCCGCCTCTGAAAATCAATTTATGGAGACGGGCACCTTAAGAGCATCTCCAAGAGATTAGCCAAATAATTTTCTAAAAGTAAATTTAGCTATTATTAAAGAAAAAATATCTCCGACAGACTCTGTAAATGACTCTTCAAATTTAGTAGCTCTCCATCCCGCCTTATTCGCTATCTACTTTTGAATAGCCTAACTCACTAGCTACCATCCTCTTGTTTTTACAGAGTCTGTTGGAGCACTCTTGTCAAATCTATTTTAAAGAGTAGCTAAATTAGTAATTTCAGCTAGTCTTTTTGGCTAATCTCCTGTAGATACTCTAAATTAGCTAAATTAGCTCTAAGAGCAGCCACTCTGTATCGCCAGGTTTCAACTTTGGCGGCCATGCAACTTTGTCTAGGTCTCCTCATGCGCATGCTTGCAGGTTGCAGATTCCATCGGTCAGGCAGGCAGGGCCGGTTTCGCCCGGGGGAGCAGCATTTCTGGAGATACGCGCCCAGTTTGTTTATGCTTGCAACTGTACGTACAGTACTCCATGGGTGGCTTCACAAAGAAGCATTGCGCTTTGATAATTGGAGCTCACGGATGCTCCAAAACATACGCGAGCTGTTCGGCGCATCCGCTGCCGTGCCGGCGAGAGACGAGACGCAAGGTGACACTTGCGGGCTGCGGCACGGTGCAAAATGTTTGGAATGCTCGCCTCGCCACTGTCGGGCCTTGTTTAAATCTAAGGTTTTGAGGTATCATAACAGATGTCACATATGAATATTGAGGTGTTTGATATTAATAAAAAACAAATTACAGTATTCGTCGGTAATCCACAAGATGAATTTATTAAGCCTAATCAATTCGTCATTAGCACAGGCATTTATTAGTTCCTCTCGCCGCATGATTGGGTGGGGTACTGAGGGCAGTCCCGATGAAAAAAACTAATAGTTTCTATAACATAGGATACCGTACAAAAAATACTGTTTTTCAACCCATGGTTTAGTAATAATTATTTTTTCTTTCTCTCTCCCAACTTTATCTTCTTCCTCCAATGGGAGTGCGGCACGAGCCCCCTAGAAACTGGTGGTTTTTTCCCAATGACGATTTCATGGTTTCTTGGTGCACTGGGTCAAGAGAAGACCTGATTTCTTCACGAGGAAACCATTTCTAGGATTTTTGCTCTCTTTCTTTATTAATTACGTTGCCATGTCAGCGTTTTGCCTACGTGGCAAGTCATTTAATGAGGATAGAAACCATCATCAATACACCATTGGAACTGCCCTGACCGACTCTCCGGTGACTCAAGGCATTTATTAGTTCCTCGAAAGTTTACTTTCTATCCCATCGAATGCTTGACACATGTACGAAGTATTAAATGTAGACTAAAAAACAATTAATTGTAGAGTTTAGGACTAATTTATGCGATGAATCTTTTAAGCCTAATTAGTCCATGATTTGACAATGTGGTGCTATAGTAACATACATGCTAACGATGGATTGATTAAGCTTAATAAATTCGTCTCGTGGATTACCGACGGATTCTGTAATTTGTTTTTTATTAGTATCCAAATACCCTATGCAACATCCTCTCATGACATCCGATGTGATACCTTAAAACTTTGCAACCAGGATTTAAATAAGGTCTCAGCCATGAGCAGTGAGACCTGCAGAAAAGATAAAGAAAATTATGGAGTTCAACGCATCTGACGTGGGTGCGATGATTTAGGCCATTTTGGATCTTTTTGTATAAGTATAAAAGGCTTGACACTGACGGAAAGATAGTACAGTAGTGTGTATAGTCCGGATAAACATTTGTAATCGAACATAGAACTCTGGCTTTTAAGCGTACATGATTTGACAATGTGTTGCTATAGTAACATATGAATTGATTGTTTTAATAAATTTGTCACGTGGATTGCCGGCGGATTCGTAATTTATTTTTATTAATATCTAAACATTCTATGTGATATCTTCAAGTGACACACAATATGACATCTCAAGACTTTACGACGTGGATTTAAGCAAAAGGACTCAGCCATGAGTAGTGAGACGTACAGAAAAGATAAAGAAAATTATAGAGTTCAACGCATCTGACGTGGGTGCAATGATTTAGGCCATTTTGGATCTTTTTGTTCAAGTATAAAAGCTTGACACTGACGGAAAGATAGTACAGTAGTGTGTATAGTCCGGATAAACATTTGTAATCGCATTTAGAACTTTGGTTACGCTACTGGGACAATTGCGCAGTTGTTTCCTTGACATTTCAGCTCCTCTGTTACATTCTACTACTCTCTGTCATTTTCTCGCTTAGGAACTTCACGTACACCTATCCGTTCACTCGCAGATTTCGGACAGATCCAAGGCGCAACTTGTCAGTATATGGATTGGGGATGGGGATCGAAAACCAAAAGAACTGATTATTGCTCACTCAGATCTCTGGCGCGGAAGAAGACCTGCTGGCATCGTTTGCCAAGCTTCATCTGGCCAACAATTCCAAAGCACACAGAAAGTACCGTGCGGTACCGCAGTTGGTGCGAAAGCAATCACCAAAACACATGAAAGCGCACAAAAACGCAGTCAGGAACGAGATAAGTTTGCGATCAAAATTTCATGACTATCATAACATGCTGAAATGCCGTGTACATGTACAGATCGACGGTGCTCTCGCACACACCCTCAGGCCTCAACCTCTAGAGCACACAACCCAAAAGATCCCATCTCAGGGAAACAGAAACAAGGGGAGCACGCATGGTGTTGATTCAAGTTTGCAACCTGCAGGTCAGGTCGATCTGTCCTAATCGCCTTCTTCAGTCTTCAGATCAGATCCA